CAACGAAGTATTTCGAGGTCTCGACTTTGTATACGCATACTTAGACGACTGCCTCATTGCCAGTCCAGATAAGGAAACTCACCTTAGACACTTGGACTTGGCATTTGAAAGGTTACGCCAACATGGTGTTACCATCAATATACAGAAGTGTCAAATAGGCGTTGGCTCACTCGATTTTCTGGGTCACACTATTGACTGTCAGGGCATTCGCCCACTGGCTACTTCGGTCGATCACTCTAAGAAAACGCGTTCTAGACGTCACGTTAGATTCCCAGAATACCTTCATACCTATTTCACATAACTGAGTGACACATCAATTGTTTCTTATGTTGCGTCATTTAACACAAGTAAATGATGTTTTTCCTATAACCGTACATAAAATTAAATTAGATGTATATTTTTTCCCGTTATATTGAACTTTAAATTATTTTACTGTATAGTAGATGCATGTCATATCTTTTTTGGTAAAAAAACGCTTATTTGGTTCATTTTTCTTGACAAGGTTCTCAGCATTCTTGTTTTCTTTTCCAGGTGCAACGGGCACTGGACAGGAAACAAACGAAGCACGGGATCCAACGAACAATACCGAGGAAGCTATGTACAGACACCCTATTATCATAGACAGACAGACAGACCAGCAGGCTCTCGATCAAGCCGCTCGGAAGATTTTTTTCACCCATCAGGGAACCATCGAGATTTTTTTCCTTCCGGCTGGTCATGTCTTAGGGTCCTCACAAACCCACTAGGGGGGGAGTGAGCTGTAGCGGTAAATAATTCCCCAAAATTATTAACCACAGCAATCATCACTCAACATTGGATGCTGACCACCACTGTTTAAGTCGACTTGTTTAGCCGAAGGCTTACGGTCAAGCATCCCCGCCATTTGGTGCTCCGTCGTGCCACGTGCGTGTACGATTACTAGCTAGCTAAGCATTCACCTCTACCCGCGATTTTGTCCCGAAATATAATACGTACTTTGGACGACAAAATCTGGTCTTTTGCTTTACCATTTGGTACTCGAAGAACGAACACTATAGTGGTTGTTGGTATAAGATCTTGCGTTAGTATAATCCGTACAACTCGCGAACGTCGATACCTACAGCCCACTAAAAATCTTTTGTTTCACCATCCCTCTCTTCTATTAGTTTCCAAGTGTCCGTAGTGAGCCATTGTTTGTCCTGTCTCTTCTTTCTGCCTAGAACTTTCATGCAGGTATGACTCCACACTGTCTTCAAGCTGTTCCAGTGCTTTTCGACGCTGACCTCTTCGCCAGTGTTGATTTGTGTCCCGGCTTTGTCTTTTATGCTTGCAGTGAAGATGTCCTTTGTGTCCTGGTCCTTCAGTTTTTGGGTGTTGAACTTGGCTTGTGGTCTATCTGCAGCTCCTGATCCTCTGAAAGCTTTTAATTTGATTTGGATTGTCCCTTGTACGAGATAGTGGTCTGAGCCAATGTCTGCTCCTCTTCTTACTTTTGTGTCCAGCAGGCTGTGCCTCCACTTCCTTGAGATTGAGATGAAGTCGATTTGGTTTTTGGTTCCCCCGGAATCAAGCTATAATAAAATAAAATTAAAAAATTAAAAAAATAATCAAATCCCCCCTAAGTCGACGGGAGCTAAGTGTGAATAAGATTAATTTCTATAGCCTTTCATCATATAGTTTATTTCGGAGACCAACCACTCCTTTGGTCGCCCGACTTTGGACTCCAAGAGGTTGGCGTCTCTTGCAAGCAGTGGGGGTGCAATAATATTATGCACTTCAAAGTGTGGTCTGACATATGTTTTGTACAACCTTAGAAAGAGCTCAGGAGTGAGTGCATCTAACTGTCTATGTGTAAAGTGTATGACAGCATATGCCCTTGCTAAGTCCCCTGTGTAATTTACGCTTGTGTCCATTTTTTTCCGTTAGAACTAGACTTAAGTCGTGCTCCGACGTTGTGCAGGACAAACTTTCATTGCACAGCGTGAAACTTGCATTCTGCAGTCCACAGGTGTGTAATTTCACTACTTTGCACTTTTTCAGGTTGAAAGTCATGCCACCGGCCACCGCCCAGTCTTTCAGAAGCTTCAGATCTGTATGCAACCCATCTGAGTCTTCTGGACACTTTATCGCCCTCCATATCCTTACGTCGTCAGCGTATAGAAGAGTCGGGCAGCTCAGACGGTATGGTAGATCATTGATGAAAGTCAAAAACATCAGTGGTCGTAGGATAAAAACGCTGCGACACTCCTGATGACGAGCTGTGCCAAGATGATCGTACTCGATTGACCTTAGTGCGAAATTGCCTTTCAGTTAGGTAGTCCTTTAAATATGACAGAAGTGGCTTACCCATTCCTGCCTGGCTTATTTTGTGTAGGAGAAGGTCATGATGAACAGTGTCAAATGCCTTTTCAAAGTCTAGGAAGATCACATGGACAGAAACATTCATATCCCAGCATGATGTCCAATCGTTCCAAGCTGATAGTAGGTTAGTAACACAGGATCTGCCTTCACTGAAATCGTGTTGGGCTTCATGGAGTATATTAGACCTATCGAGATATTCCCTGATGTGATCGTCAATAATACTTTCCAGTACTTTTGATACTACTGGGAGTAGAGCTACTGGTCTATAACTAGTGAAATTTTGCCTATCCCCACCCTTGAAGATCGGAGAAAGGATGCTTCTTTTCCACTTCCTTGGCAGTTTCCCCGATTCCATGAAGTGTTGGAACAAGTCTCATAAGGGCCCACAGAGAGCTTCGGCGCACTGTTTCAGAATAGATGGTCTGATGTCGTCACAACCTGGGGACTTCCCAGGTGTGAGTCGCTGTAGCTTTCTTAGTACTATTGGAGGGTTTATTTGGGGAGTAGTCATTAGGTCTTCCTCCTGTGAAATAGCAGGGCAACAGTTTTGGTCGTAACGGTAATACCCACATTGCTGTTTAGCTGTTTGGCGAAGGCTAAACTTAATGTTTCAGCCATCTCCAGACTAGTGAGTTATTGACAGTTTGGGCCTACTTAGGCGCATGCCCCCTGGTTGGTTTTCTTTCCGACATGAATCTGTACAAGTTCTCGGGGTTTGTTAGGAGATTTTTAGCAAGGCTAGCCTGGAATGACCTCCTGTCTATCCTGACTCTTGCATTGCACCCCTTCCCGAGTTCCAGGTATGCATCGTGGTCGATCTGACTCTCAGATACACGCCGCGTAAACCAAGCCTTCCGCTTTGCTTGCAGAATACGTTGCGTGCCTCTCTTTAACCATGATGACTTTCTTTTGGGCTGTTGTGTGACTGAAGGGACGGTACAGGCGTTTACTGTATGAATAATCTTTTTTACCACCTCCCAGTGTTCATCCACAGATAGCTCATCCCATGCTAAGGGTCAGTCTGCGTCGGACAAGAGCCTTCGCGTTTCAGCATAGTCAGTTTTGCTGTAACACAGACATGGTCGCGTAACGTCCCACTGCGAATGCTCACGGAGAACAAGATCGAAACCTATGACTGCATGGTCACTACCTCCTTGAGGAGTCATGGTTTGGACCTTTACGATGAGAAGTTGATCACTAGTTAGTCCAGCTTTGATGACTTTCCACTAGAGCCCCACATAGTGTCGTCTCCAACATTCCCAGTTAGTCCCGTGTTTCGAATAGTTTGCAGTAGATTTCGGTCGAATTTTCCCTTAGCATAGCCAAGGTTTAGTGATGGGGCATTGAAACCTCCAGCAATGGTGATTTGGTCATAGCCCAAGTCTCGTA